GCAGTTGTAAGATTTGCTTCTTTACTTCAACGGCTTGACGGTATGTCATTGGCTCACACCAGATTCCAGGGCATCCAACAAACGCCCCGGTAGACAAGTCGAGTATTAAAAGTGGGTTCTAGTGAAGAGGCATCCCGGGGTACCCGGGGAAGCGAGACAAGGAACATCTCGCCTGTCACTCACACTGGCGGCCCGCGATAGGTATCCGTGCAGATATCACTCTCCAATCGATGAGTTAGGTAGTGTTGGGGTGAAACACTCGGGCGGCTCGGGTTGGTGGAACTCGTTAGCTGTCCCACCAGGCGCTTCAAGGCAAGTCTGTGTTTGTCAGCCTGGCCCATCGAATGGCTGGTCGAAAATGGCGCGAGAATCCGTAATGTCAGAAGAAGCCTGGCTGAGATTGACGGGGTAGGTAATTTGGGAGCTGGGATGCTGCAAACGGTTTTCTCGGGTCAAGGGTGTTTCCAGTGAAAATGGAACCAGGATGCTGTCAAATATACCGTATGATGATGCCACCCAGGCACGTCTTTTCTGTCACAGTTGACGATGACGCCCGGTTTGAGGCCACGGCGAGGAGAGCCGATGCCATGGTAGCGGCCAAGCAAGCGGCGTTCTCCTGAAAGTCCTCGTGGAACCTGCCAGAGTCTTGACATTATTCAGGAGACCCTCCTCGTATTACGCTGCGTCCAACAAAACTGAATTTGGAAGTCGTGCCTAGATGCCGCCTTCGATGCCCAGTGCCGATATTCCCGAGGCTGTATAACCAGTTCTGGTGCGGGCGGATGCTTGGAAGCGCGTCACCAAGCTCCCCTGCAGCCTGCTGTGGGTACACGATGACACCCGTCCAGTTGAAGTGGTGAAAAGCTAGACGCAGGTATAACAATTGCGGAAGGCGGCAGGCGTCGCATGACGGCAGCCGCAGCCCGCCTCAACCGCAGCTTGTGGCAAACTGTGTTGCGCAGCGCTGCATTTGTTGACGACTATGTATACAGTATCGGAGCCCGTAACGGAGAACAGTCACAGAATGGGAAAGACAGCATTACAGTGAAAGCAAATATCGGCAAGGATTATCACGCGCACGTGGTTAGATGAAGCGAGCGATCTTATCGATATGACTTGATGTCGCGCCGATGCATTCCCTGCACGTCAGCCCGAGAACCGAAGAATTCTGAAGATCTCAGATGGTGAAACAAGGGCCTTCGGGTTCTTTGCTAATCATCACAAGATGGAGTTTAAACAGCAGGCAGAATCTCGTATGTGATTCCCCGCCCTAACGACCTTGGCAGGAACAAGCGCCGTTGCTACGCTCGAAAAAGCAAGACGTGAAACCAAGTCCGAAGCTCGTCAGCCAGGAACAGACAAAACACCTTTGCGGTGCTGAACGGAGCTGCTCCGAAACCCCACAGACTCCCGCGCTTCGCTGTTTCGAAACAGTAAGGCCAACTTCGTATCCGCACGTACGCGAGCTGGCCTTACGCACATTGGCCGCGGCCTGGTCAGGAGATGCCACTGCTGAGCAAATTCGACTAGCATGCTGGTCCCACAACGGCCTCGAGGCGCTTGAGAGTGACCGTGCTAAACGGGAACGTAGACGAGCCCGACGGTAGTCTTGGTCAGTCGTCAGCAGATGATATAAAGGATGAAAGCCGCCCGATGTGGAAGAGGCCATCACTCCCAGTGACACACAGTCCCTCCTGACAAGCTAGCCTTCGTCGTCATTCATTCTACACTTCACTCTTTTGCATTCGAAAACGCTGGGTCGTCTTCCTCTTATTCACTGGACTTTTTTGTTGCTAAATAGGGAACACTTCGACGCACTTCCTGTATTCACAGTGGAACATTGTTAACAGACCACCGTTGTGGAGCCACCAGCACTTGAAGTCTAGAAGTTCTTCATTTGATACCCCCCAAAAGTCACTCTTTACGTACACGGTCTTTACGAATCCACCAATAGACTCAACCATGTACACAAACATATTTTCTGTGCTCGCCCTGGCTGGCGCTGCTCATGCCCATATGTCCATGTACTACCCGGCTCCTCTAGGAGGCGCCCCTTCCATCAACCCACAATCTACGGAGCTGGACCCACAGTTCAACTACCCGCTTGGCTGCTGCGGCCCCGATGGCGGTGACAGTAAGCCCTCTCCTGGCCTTTGCCGTGGCCATCTTGACAAGTTCGACACCGAGGATGCTACTGTTACCTGGCAGCCTGGTCAAGACGCCTACTTCCAACTCACCGACTACGATTACGATCCCGAGGCACCTGGCGGCACCCACTATGGGGGCTCTTGCCAGGTTGGCTTCTCCACCGACAAGGGAAAGACATGGAAGATGGCCGCCTCATACCACGGCGCTTGCCCGCATGCCACCGAGGATGGATCTCCCGAGGCCCAGACCTTCGACTTCAAAGTCCCCACCAACATGCCAGAAGGCGATGCCATCTTCATCTGGGTCTGGCTCAACCGTGAGCACGAGGCCTTCGAGAACTGTGCCAAGGTCCACATCGGTGGATCCGGTTCCAGCTCTGGCTCTGGCGATACCAGTGAGCCCAATGAACCATCACAGTCTGCAACTCAGCCTGAACAACCCGCTTACTCTGAGACTGAGCCCGAAGAGACTCCCGAGCCAACCTACGCACAGCCTGAGGCACCTGCTGAGGACGAAGAGGAAGAAGATGATGGTGAGCGATACGAGCAGCCACCGGCCCCTACTCCTGTTGAGAACGGCCCACCGGCTGTTGTCGTTACCACTGTTGTAGCGACCACCATCTACGAGCAATACCAGGCTACAGAGACACCCACAGCCGAGCAGAGCGACAACTCTGATCGCGGTCACTGGTGGAACCGTCCTCACAAGGAGGTCAAAGCGAACACCCGCCGCTATGCAGTAGACGGTTCGAGCTGTGAGTGCCGCCGCGACGAGCTTACTCTCGCAGCCCGTTGCGCTTGCGATTCTACCAACAAGGCCATTGAACGCAAGGCTCTGCGCATGCATCGCCGCACTTTCTACAAGCGTGTCGATGCTTGCGACTGGAACTCTGCACCTGCCATGGAGGTCTCGTACTATACTCCCGATGCCAACTGCGCACCCGGTGCGAAGGACCGCATGCCTGAGAGCGACACTTTCGAGCTAGGCTGGGACGTCAACTGCGGTGTCGTCGAGGGCCAGAGCGAGTATGAGATCAAGATGATGAGCTGCGACATGTACGGTTAGGTGTGTCGGTTTAGGTCCATATTTCCTCACACCTTATCTTTCACTTCTTCACTTTCGTTCATCATGTTCCTGAACGCTGGGATACGTTTTAATTCTTCTTGAAGCACAGTGGGGATGACCCTATGCTTCCAAACTTTTACACATTAGATTCGGGATGGATTGGCGTTTTCGTCACACATGGGAGGCTTCACGACATTCACGCACATAACTTATGACGGTTGGGCTGCGTCAGAGCCTGAAGGGACACATTGTAGAGCACTGGCAACACTGCAAACAATTGATCACTTTCGCAACTAGACAGACTTCACATTGTATGAAGTCGTGCACTGATACTTATTACAATTACTTCATTGGTGACTACTCAAGGTTCCACAGTCATCCTCTTGGGTGCAAACCAGGAGAAATATCATTGCTACACTCGTGCCAGATTGAGGGACAGAGGAGCATCTAAGACGACTGTCCACCCTTCCTGCCGGCCTCCTTAGCCTTCTCACTGCCGGGCTCGAAACTGCCAGATGAGGCCTTGCCACCCATAGAGGCGATGTCGTGTTCTGTAGTAATGTCAATCCTAGCTATTTAGTATACAGATGTACACTTACGCTTGTCAGCATCCATAGATGCGAAACCGCTGCTATGGGAGTGCTCTCCACCTTTCTGTGCTGCGGCCTTGACTTCGTCCTTGGGACGGTTCGCAAAGTTTCCGGGGTTGTCGTTGCCAGACATTGCTTGGTTTGTGCGAGTGGGTTGAGACAGGTATTTATGTATGATAAGGTCGATAGTCGTCTCGGATTAGAAAGATGCTGCTGTGCTCACCAGTAACCTATCGACTGAGCAGTTTATATGCCAAGGTCTCCAGGTCAGGATCGTCTATATGTCGTCAGTGCTCCATCACAACAATTCGCATATTACTATGATGAAATTGCATCTTTGTTCGACGGCTACATCACACGTTGCGCAGACATCCAGCCACATGCAATTTACCCGCATCCACATAGTTGCGTACAACGCGGTGCTTAGCCTCGGCTATGTCATGATGGTAGTGAATGACATAAGAAAAAGCCTCTCGCGGTACTCAATGTCGTAGTGGAGAGGCTGACGACATGACGTGACCATTTCGTTAGTCGCTAGCACGGACGCGTCTCAAGGATCGCGTTGATGATCGATTATCGGACCATGGTGGACGTTTTGGATGGAGTGTAGACAACCAAATGGTCGCAGGTATATTTGTACTATTTAGATGTAATTGTCATGAGATTAGGATGATAGTCCTGAACAACTCGTGTGATGTGCGCTAGGCCGATTGCGAGATGTCACGTGACAGCGCGAAAGCGCGCAAAGTAGTCAGCGTCGTCTAAGTAGGGCAATACTCCTAAGTGAACAAGCCAATACACTTCCTCGATAGGAATGCTGAGGTGTATGGGAACTGGAGAGCGGATGAAACATGTGAGCATGGCTGGTGAGACTGGTGAGAAGATTCGATTGCACATACCTGCGTGGTATGACCGCGAATTCGCGCTCTAAAGTGTTTGAGATATACAACAAATACATTTCAACATGGATAGCGGGGAACAATAGACACGAAAGATCTTGACTGATGAATCCCAAACAACGCCAGCGTCCAAGTCATCATCGTAACCAAGTGACTCCAATATACACCGACGGAATTACACCCTCTTGACCCCATATTTTCATTGGGATCTCCATATACCCAAGTCTGATCCCAACCTCGCGACCGGTACCTCGTATCCAAGACCCTTCATAGCACGTACGATAGGAGGCCAGGTATTCTATTCCTGTGTCTTTCCCCCACCCATGCGCTCGATGTTGGACAGTAACCTGCTCTTCCCACCACTTTGACTCCGGTTCAAACCGGGAGCACCTTGGAACTTAAGGCCACCTGGTGCGCGAAGTCCAGATGGTTTAGCGATTCCACTGCCGGTACGCTCGTTCATGGCACCTAGACGGTCACCCATCGCACTGCCGGGACGTCCACCGCCAAGTGCGGATCCGGGGCGTGAGGCACCGGGGCCACCGGCCAGAAAACCCGTGTTGCGCATTGCTTGCTGAGGCGGCGCTTGCTGTTGAGGGGCAGCAGGTGCGGAGCCCATTTGTGAGCGGCGAAGGTCTTCTTGTTGCATCTCTTCCATCTTTTCTCCGCACATGGAAAGCATCTGTTCGGCGGCCGCTACGAGCTCGCCTTTCTCGATGCGCTCAGCTTCAAGGTCTTCAACAAGGGTATCGTGGGATTTGCGAAGAGACTGAAGTTCCGACTGAAGACCGGCGAGTCTAGCCTTGAGGTTCTCGATTTCAGCTCTCTGCGCTTCTAGCATCTGAGCGTCTTCGGCGTTCCGTGTGTTCTTTGAGGGAGATACTCCTTGGCTCTCGTCCCTGGCGTCGTGCTGGCCTGGATTGATCCTACTGAAAGTATTGTCACGCTTCTTCTCTGCGTCTTCCACTTGCCGTTCGAGACTAGCAATCTGCGCCCGAAGCTCTTTGCACTTTTCGTCGGCCTTCTTCTGGTAATTGTCCTTGAGGGCTTTGATCTTCTTCTCGTGTTTAGCCTTGTAGGCTGTGTGCAGGTCGCGTGCAATCTCATTGACCTTCTCTGCAATAGCAGATTGGCATTCGAGTTCTGAGTAAACCTTCTTGTTCTCATCGCCCTCATCGTTGTTGATAAACGTCGTCATGTCGACGTTCTTGCTTTCAGCCTCGATGACCTTGGTTTCAAGCTCAGACGAGCGGCTCTCTGCATCATCAGCACGCTTCTCTGCATCGGCCAACCTCGCTAGGAGGTCTTCGCGCTCAGCATCGTTGCGTGCCATCTCGGCCTGGACGTCCTGCAGCAGTTTCTGAACCTCTTCGCCTTTTGACTTCCAGTCAACCATTTGTGTCTCTGCATATTCGCGAGCTGAGCGTTCGTCACGGACGGTCTCTTGGGCTTCGCCAACTCGGCGTTCAGCATCGGCAATAGCTTTGGAAAGAGCGTCGATCTCAGCTTCTTTTCCAGACAAGCTGGCGGTGAGAGACGACACCTGAGACTGAAACTGGGACTTTACAGACTCAAGCTCTCGGATGGTGACAGTAGGTAGCGATCGTGGTGTAGGCGGCGGAGGCAGCTCAAAATCCAACAGATTCAACATTTGGCTCCTCTGGCTGGGTGTTGCAGGTACTTGCGACCCACCCTTGGCCGGCGATCGCTGGTCCCGGTAATAGGAGCGGAGGTTTGGCTCTGTGATAGACTTGCTAGGCGAATTGCGCCCACGTCCGGGTGACGCACGGCGGGATGAAGAGAAGGATTCAATCTGGGCGGTGAAGTCCAAAAGTAGATTTGTGGTATCGTTATCGTTATATGCGCGCCGTGGCGTAGGACTGGGAGTGCGTTCGGACCGTCGGACCGTCGAGGGTGTCATTTGAGGGCGAGCGCGAGGTGTAGCCTTTCAAATTGTTAGTATGCTACGTGAGATCAACAGCACATAGACTTACATCTGGCATGCCGCTCTTTGCTGGGCTCTGTTTCAGGGATGCGAATTTCGTCATATCGATCCCCGGCATCTCTGAGAAGTTGCTGAAGCAGGTATCATCGATGTCCAAGGATGTTGGCTCTGGCCCGTCTGGATTGAAGTCTGTGTTGTCCATGCTCAGATCGATCTCAAATTCGTGGCCTCGAGATGTTCGCTTTCTGGGTGTTTCGCGAGTTTTGAAGTTGCTATCCTCCATGAACTTCATCGCGGTAGTCAAGCCCTCGTTGTCGCGGAGCGGAGACTCTTGGTGAGAAGAGGCCGGTCGCTTTGACGGTGTGACCGATGTTTGCCGCTGATATGTATGGGTTGGCTTGCGCTGGACCGTTTCGGGCGAAGGTACGCGTGACGATTTCGAGGGCGATTGGCTTTTGTAGGAGTGGCTACTCATTGCGGACCCGCGTCGCTCGGTAGCAATCTCCTTGATGGGCGAGATGTTCTTCTGGGGAGTCTGTCGATCCGCACTGCCAGTTTTATGTGCCGGGTCTTCAAAGTCGTCCATCAAATTCTTTGCTGGCAGTGTCTTCATTGGGCTTGTGCGCTCCTTCAACCCAAATTTCTTCTCGGGAGACACTCTGAAAGCGGATTGGGGTACGCTGTCCTCAAAGTCTATTAGCGGCTTCACCGGTGTGGCTGCTGCTCCAGGGGCAATGTTCTCCTGGTCTTGGACTCCGATGTGTTCGACGAAAGGCGACGAGGGCGGATCGTTGTACGCCATATCAATATCGTCGACGATGATGTTGTCAGAGTAAGTATTGAGCTTCTCCGGCGAAACATTCGACATTGGTTCCGCCATGTTTGCGATTCGGGAAATGCGGTGTCTGGTGTTCGCCGGAGCGCGCAATTGTGTGTTGTGGTTGCTTGTTTACAGTCCGTGCGCGCTGGTTGCCCCTTCCCCATCCGGTATCCCCCGTTTTGGCCGAACCCCAACCACCATCTGCGGCGCGGTATGTATGTTGCAAGTACCGTCATCGCGAAACAACAGGACGTTACATTATGCTACTCAAATCCACATAGACAAAATCTATTACCAAAGTTTTGTGTCTTGCATGTTTATGCACATCATTGCAACCAAATATGTGATGTATTTCAGTAGTTAATTGCTCCTCGTAATGCACCCGCCAATCTTTGATACTCTTTCAACAGCTCGTCAACCTCCTTCAACTTCAACTCCTGGGCATCTTTGGCTTCCAGAAAGCGCTTCACTGGTGGTGTGGTCTTCTTCAGTTGCTCCAAAGCAGCGATCGCTCTGGCACCCTTTTCATCTACTGATGGCAACTCGTTCGTGGCTGTACGACTGAGTGGTTCTGGGGAAGGCGATGCTTTCGCCTGTTCCTGGCCCGGTGAGGGGAGAACAGGTGTACTATTATTACTCACAGCGCGCGCAAAGCGAGGCAGTACATTCATGCTGGGAAAGCGGTTTAAGGGGTTAAAGTTGTTGCCCATATTCCGCAGAGAATCCACCGCGGAGGTGTTGCCAGGCGTTGGAGGATCTGCCTTGATCGGAGCTGGTGACGGTGTCTTCTCCTCTACGCTCTGGCCTGGGGCGAATGCAACGCGCCGCCCACTGTTGCTACCGCCGGACTTGGTAGAATCGACGCTGCGATCTCTGATCTGCCTCCTACCAGCAAAGAGATCAGCCATTTTGGCATCGAGTCCTCTGCTAACTGGAGCCTCTGTTGGCTCATCACCCTGCACTGAACTTGCTGCACTGACACTCAAGCTGTCTTCATCGCGCTCTGCGCGAGTTGGGGAGCTCACGAGCTTCCTTGCATCTTCCAGTGTCTTGGGAAGTACTGGCTGTTCTTGCACAGGGCCATCGGGATTCTTCTCCTTTAGACCACCAAAGAAGAATTTGAAGCTGGTGTCCAACGTGTTGTTGATTCTCCCAAGCGCCTGGTCAGCAGAGTCAAGAATCGAGTCCCGAACGGCATCAGAGGCAGCCTCGATCTTGTTGGTCTGTGTTTGTATAAGGTTACTCAAGCGACGCTGAGCTTTGGTGGTCGTTGGGCTGGAGGGTTCTTTGGGAATTGTCTTGGAGATGGGCGTGGCTGGGGTCTGGATGAGATCTGGCGCATCCGAAAGTCCAAGAGGCATTGGGGTGATCTCGGATTTGGGAGTTGAAGGTCTGGAATCTGGTTTTGCGGGAGTGACTTCGTCGGCGCGCAATGAAGAAAGATCGACGGTTTCCAGGAATGAGATGGCTGCCTCGAGATTAACCAAGCAATATGCAGTCTCACCATCCATGCGAGTTGAACCGCGGAAACGATGGATGAAGTTTAGATCGCTAATTACGTTCAAGTTGACGGGTGGCATAGTAATGAGGGCGTAAATGAGGGTTGGCAGGATTTCATCAGCAGATGAGGTCGAAGGGAATATCTTGGACAGAGCTTCGACAATAGACTTGTGGGCAGCAGTCAAATGTTGGACCTTGCCCAGCGGGTACTTCTCCTCATTCATCTTCAGGATGTCTTCGCGTGCTGCAGATAGGTACTCGCGGATCTCGGGCTCCTTCTCCTTGGCTTTCTGGCGCTCTTCCTCAGTCAACTCCTCGCCAGTCATCAGGAGTTCCTTTAGACCAATGCCGACGAGGGAGAGAGCAGCTGTGCGTGATCTGAGTTTATGATCCCTTTCCTCGTCATCGGTACTCCTGTGCCGCCATATCCTCTGGTAGACCTTCTCGCATACGGCGCGCTCGACAGCCTCTTCTAGTGCGAACCGCTTGAGCTCGAGCGACCTGCGCGCTTTCTTGCGGTCGGCCATTTCAGTGGCACTGAGCATTTGTTGTTCCCCTGACGGGTCGCTACCCTTTCTTATCGACGATGGCTTGCTCGACGAAGCCGACGCTTTCTTCGCATTCGCGACATAGTTGTCGCTCGTTAGGCGAGCAGAGAGAGTTGCTATGTGTGTGCTTATTTTGGCGGACGCGCGTCCGTAGAAGTCTTGGAAGAGGTCGGCGAGAGCTTCGGCGGACAGAGGGGTGGGATGCACTTTGGCTGTGAGGGATTCGAGGAATCTAAGGGCGTTACTATCAGAGGAGGATGCACGCTATGGACAGCAGAAGGTACCTCTCTGTCAAGCTACGGATCTCGATAGGCAGCTCCTCGAAAGTGTCGGGCACTTTGGGCTCTTCGCTGTCTTGGTGCTCGTCCTCGTCCTCCTTCTTTGCAAACACGTCGCCGTCAGGGTTCTCGTCTTCCTCGGGCACCATGGCAGCCTTGAGCGGATCGAGCATGTCTGACGCATTCGGTCCTTGCAGCGTATTCGCTCGGCTGCGCGCGAGGGGGCTCTTGGGGGCAGAGTCGAGGCGCGTGAAGGAGCGTGAGGGATGCAGGTTTCTAGGCCGGTCGGCCATGGTGTTATTGCTGCACAGGGTCTAATGGAAATCTAAAAGTGTCGTGTGCCTGCATTGGGAGGAGGCTGCTGTGAAACCGTGCGTGGACGAAGCGCATGTGTTCACGTCATGCGGCAGCACGGCACTCCCGAGGGAACCGAAAGTCGCGGGTGAGCAGTGCAATGTGTTGAACGATTGTGCTTACTAGCGGGTGACGGAAGCGGGCGACAGGGCGAAGAGGCGCCGTCTTGGTGGTGGTGATGGAGCTATGGGGGAGCTCCCCGCACGGCGCGCACGTGAAAAGGAGCTGGGCGGGCCTGGGGTCAAGTGAACCATCGATCGTCATCGATGTCCGACGGAGGCAGCCATCTCAGTTGGCGCCTGCTAACGCCTCCTCTGCGCAGGTTGCTCGTTGCAACTCCCCCTCTTACAACCAGAGATCCACCATGCGACGCCCAAGACCCTGCCCCTCCGCCTCGCGCGTGGCTGCTTCCTTCCTGCTGGCGTTCGTCGCCGCAAGCGTTGCGAGCGCGGCCGACATGCCCGTGATGCCGCCGCCGCCTCTCCCGCACAGCACTCCCCACGCCGACAAGGACTTTACGCTGCGCCACATCTTCCACCACGGCACCTACAGATACCCCGAGCTGCACCGGCGACTCGATGTTCCAGAGCACGCCGCAGTATGGACCGCCCCCGACGACGACGCGGCCAGTCGCGAGCCCGTGCCGCGGTTGCGCGTCAAGTCCGAGGCCATGAGCATACAGCGCCTGGCCGATAGGAGCAAGGAAACCATCACCGGCATACTGGAGTGGGGCCGCATCACTGGGAGAGGCGTGGAGCTGCCGGAAGAAGACTGGACTATCGACGAGATAGCAGGCCCCAACGTGACGGACCGCGAGACCGTCCTGAGCTTCGCCCGCATGGCCTCGGACGCCTACGTACTCGAACCCGGCACGGGAGAGTGGGAGCCTGTGGGCGGCGGCTTCAACTACACAGAAGACTTTGGCTGGGAATCCGACGGTCTGCGCGGGCACATCTTCGCCGACACCGAGAACTCGACAGTCGTCATAGGCTTGAAGGGCACGTCGCCTGCCATGTTCGATGGCTCCGAAACCACTACCAACGACAAGATCAACGACAATCTGTTCTTCAGCTGCTGCTGCGGCCAGGGTGGACAGTACTTGTGGCGACAGGTCTGTGACTGCCAAACGTCGGCCTACACCTGCAACTCTACCTGTCTAGTCACTGCGCTGCGAGAGAAGAACCGCTACTACTACGCTGCACAGGACCTATACCACAATGTCACAGCACTATATCCGGATGCTGAGATCTGGATGGCCGGACACTCCCTCGGTGGTTCTGTTTCGTCCTTTCTTTCCCTTACATTTGGACATCCGGCCGTCACATTCGAGGCTGTGCCCGAAGCCATGCCAGCGTCGCGCCTCGGGCTACCCGTTCCCTCTGGCCACCAAATCGGTTCCCTACAGCAGCGCAAGTTCACCGGCGGTTTTCACTTTGGGCATACCGCAGACCCCATATACATGGGAGCGTGTAATCAGGCCACCAGCGCCTGCACCATTGGCGGATATGCTCTGCAGAGTGTCTGTCACACCGGGCAGAAATGCGTATACGATACAGTCAAAGACTTCGGCTGGCGCATGGGCATTGGCACCCACAAGATTGTCGAAGTCATCAGAGACGTTATACTCAAATACGATGCGCCTCCTAAATGTGAGGCTTACGTTGATTGCACTGACTGCTATATGTGGGAGTACTTTGAGAGCAACGGCACCGAGACTACCACTACCAGGAGCTCAAAGCCGACGGCCACATCAACATCAACCAGGTCCAGTCGCACAAGAACTGAAACTTGCAAGACGCCAGGTTGGTGGGGCTGTCTTGACGAGGATTCCACGACCAGATCACACACCAAGACTACGATTACGACGACATCATCGACCTCGACGTGTAAGACACCCGGTTGGTTTGGCTGCAAAGATGAGGACACGACATCTACAACCATGACAATCACTACCACACCTGCTCCAGCGCCTACTGTCACAACAACCTCGTCGACACCTACCTCTACCTCATCGTGCAAGTATCCAGGCTGGTTTGGCGGCTGCCTCGACGGTGACGAGCCGCCTGCAAAGACGCATCACACACCTAAGCCAACACCCACAGCTACCCCGACCAGCACATTATGCACATCCGAAGGCTTTTTTGGGCTCATATGTTATGACAGGTCGAAGAAACACGGGAAGACGACTTCAGAATCTCCTGTGACAGAGAGAATGGAAATGTAGAGACGCAAGGTAGGAAGTGACCAGGCAATATTATTTTGACTTTATGGTTCAAGTGTAAAGGAAGGCGTAAAGGAGGCGTAAAGGAAGGCATTATATCCAGGCGCATGGGTTTTCACTTAGGCATTTGGATGCATCGCAAATTCACACAACATCGTT